TAAAAATGTTCCCTGATCTGGAGCCAATACTCCCTGATATATCGTGTTCCCTATCATTGAGGTACATACTCTACCTCGTTACTATTCCCTCTGTTCAGTGGATTGTCTTATGCCTTCCGAACCCGACATATAAATACAATCACAAATTTAAGTTAGTAAAGAATATCATAAATAAAATCATCAGACCATACAAAATCAGTAATTTCGACATCGTAGTGGCATGTACATATTCTGACATATTATAGCTCAATTAGGCCGAGAATCGGCTAAACCTATAGCTTGATACCAATAATGTAACACCCTTAACCGTATATGTCTCGATATACGATTCAAAGATGTCACATCAACTTAAAAACATTTACTGAACTGAAAATTCACTAAAAAAATTGTTTCTTTAAAAACACTCTTATTCTAACTTTAAAAATTTATTTTAAAATATATCTCAACTATAATTTATTCCTTTGTCACATGAAAATAAATTCATTTATTAATCAGTAATATTACTAAACCATGTCTTTTCGTTAAATCTTTTAAAAACATAATAACGCAATATATATTTTCATGCATAAATACTGATAAAACTAAACTAAGTAAAATAAACTAAAATAGTCCTAATTTACTAATACAGACTATTTAAAATAAATACGATAAATAGAAATTATTGACATAATTATATATGCCACTACTAGTCAAAAGAAACTTCAATGATGTCTTACTGATACTCGTATTATAGATGATCTACACATGATGCTTGATAGTCTCCTCATAAAACGTTTGTATCTCAATCAGACCCTATGCATGAAAATCATCACGCGCTAAGTATAACTTAGTGAGGGCAGTATAATCTAAGGTGAGAAAAATCTGAAATATAATAGACATAAATAAAATAATTCGAATCAAAATATTAAACTAACAAACCAACTTATCCAAGTTGATTTCTTCACTGAGACCTGAAATTTCTTTTTAAATCATGAACTATGAAATTCTGATAAATCATATCTGATAAAATAAGCATCATGCTTTTTGTCAACTGAAAATCATTCACAACTTGCATATTCATTTTCATATCCCAATGCATTATGAAACATAAGATACGTGAGTAAGGTGTGCACTATGCACAACACTGTGCAAATCGTAACTGATACTGAGATATGATGCACTTCAGTGCCATCATAAACCTGAATGCACCAACGGTACTGGACATTGGTACACGAATATACCAAAGCTGATATGATAACATTGATACACGAATGTACCAAAGCTGATATGATAACATTGATACACGAATGTATCAAAGCTGATAATGGATAAATACTCAACTAATGGCATGTCAAGTGTACCAATAGTTCTCACTATAACACACAATGGGCTGATGTATCATAATAAATCCATCATAAAAATATCATGTTTGGGTAGTTCATACCCTAAATCATTCATAAAACTGATATAGAATATTATAAAAATATTCTTTATAAACTTTAAAATCATACTGTAAATTGGAACGAGGTTGACTTATCGCAAGTCGTCCTCAATCAAAATAATTAAATAAATAACTACACTCACATTTGCCTCACTATAGATTCCTTTAAGTGATATTTCTAATCACGTGCTTTTTCTTTTCCTTTCGAATCACCCCGATTGCTAGATTTGTCGTGGCCTGGAAATACCAAATAATAACACAAAGTGTTCGAACTACATATTAGAATCGTACTAATATAAACTATAAGTTGTGAATTCTTTTTAGAATTCACCTCAACCTTTCCATTTAATTCATAATGGGCATTCACCATTAAAATCATAGCACATTAAATATAAAAATTCCAGCACTTTAATAAAATGTTCAAATCAATACCTTAACATTTCAAACATTTATAATTTCAACTCAAACTTTCCTAACTTTCGATTTTCAACCACCAAACTCAATATATTTGTAATTCAACCTCAACTCAATATTTAATTCAAATTTCATAATACTAATAAATTTTCGAGCATTCAATAATTTACTCAAATAATACTTCTTCATTTAAGAACTTGCAAACAAGTCCCCAAAGTTTTGGAACCTTTCGAATTCCACCATCTAACCATTAAAATGAATTCTTTTATAATTCTTCTCAACATTTCCAATTTATTAAAAATGGTCTCTTTCCATTTAAATTAAATTCAAGCATCCAAAAATATACTCAAACATTTAAACATTGATCTTAAGCTTCTAATCTATTTCCACTTAAATTCTAAAATTTTCATATTCAGACAACTCGCACTACCTTTAAAGAATCAGTATTCTGTATTGATATACACGCTGGAATTTAATTTTGTTTCTTCTGTTGAAAACTAGACTCGAATAAAAATATATCCATATAAATAAATCTTTCTAGTCCATTCCATACAATTTATGGTGAATTTTCAAAGTTGGCCGACATAATTTGTTTTGTGTAGAATCTGCTGCCCCGTTTTTCTGACATTTCATCGGTTAAAAATTCATATCTTTTTGTATATACATTGAAATTGATCTCCGTTTGTTTTAAACAAAACTAGATTGATATACGAACACAAATATATAAAAATCACCTCCAAATAATGTTATATAAATTATGGTGAATTTTCAAACTCACTGCCAGATTTAAAATCTAAATTGTTTTCATTAATTTGCATCCTTCAGTTCTTCATCAATTCTTACAACCAATTCTTTAAAATCAATTAACTTTTCATAACCCCAAATCATAAAATCTCATAACATAATCCTCTTCACCATGAAATATTGGTACCAAATGATAGAGAATTTCAAGTAGATTAATTTTTCTATCTAATAGCTAAATCCAAAAATCAAGTATATTGCTTCAAAAATAAAAAATAAAAATCTTACCTTGTTAGGACTTGAACTTTAAGCCAAATGAAGGAACAAGCTGACAATGTGCTGATTAGATAAGACACTTGGTAATTTCTAATTAATTGAATTTAATATTCAATTAATAAAAATCTCAAAAATACCCTTAATAAATCTTGAAACTTATCAAATTCTATTGTATTATCTTCCATTAAAATATTTCTTGGTCAAAGATGAATCAACTTGTCTTTGACTTTCGTATTTGGTCATGCAATTTTCAAAAATTACATTTTAGTCACTAAAATTCCACTGTTCGGTCAAATCTGAAAAATTGCATTGTTCTAAGCCAATTTTCTCTGATATGAAATATGAAAATAATATTTCAACCATTTTCTAACATCCTTCAAATTTTCGTAAAATTTCGGTGTAATCCGATTATCTGATTTCAATACCGAACTTTACCGCTTTATAGCTTTTAACACAAATCCCGTACAAAAAATCTGATTCCCACTAAACTCTTTATTTTAGTTCAAACTATTCATTTAGAGGCTAAAATAATATAACTTTTAAAAGTTAGAATTTCGGTCCCTACACTTTTCAAAGTTTATATTTTAGCCACTAAACTTTTAAAACTTATATTTTAGTCACTGATCAAAATTTGGAGTATTACAAAAACTAGGAGTTTGAATGCATGACTTTTTCCTCAACCGTTGAATGTGATGAATGGTCCAAATTGATCTTCTAGAAGGTGGCAGCTTGGTGAATAAGATGCGACTGCTAGGGTTTTGTCATTACAGAAAATTACCTTTACTTAAACTATCCCTAATATGAACATATTGAAAATTCGTAATTAATTACAAAATTACGTATTAATTTCGTATAGGGATTTCTACATGCGTTGTCTTCACTAAAATAGGCATATATTGTGCTCTCGATATCATATTGATAAAATTCAAGAACCGTTGGAAAGATAAGAGATAGAACAGTCATATCTACAGAATACATGTCAACTGAATAAGATCAGGATCCCATTCAAAAAGCAATCGCAAGTCTACTTCTATGCTATTATTCTTTTCCAAAGCTTGTTCATGTGGATCAATTGAAAGCGTTAGTCAATCTTCCTTTGATGTGAGCCTTGTGGTGTATGTATCAAATAGGGCGTTCAAGAGACCTATAAAGAAAGAGTTTGGTATTAAATAAAGGTTTAATTAAAATAAATGTCTAAATTGTACCTTTTGTTAATTTTAAGTATTTAATTTTTTTTATTAAAGTAGATGTCTAATGTTTTCTCCATTATCATTTGAAGTCTTTGGTTTGTCACGTACGTTGACGGGTGGTCCCCCGATTATAGAATATCGCTTTGTTGAGTCCCCGACTATTAGAAGTTATAAAATGATCCCCTAATTATGGGGGTTACTTTGTTGAGCCCATCGACTATTAAAAGTTATAAAATGGTCACTCGACTATTCATTATGTTCCAAACTCGTTGTTTTCTGTTAAGAAATTAACGGTCGTCTGAGTTGGTTGTTAATATGTTGACTGAGATATGATAGTCGTTTGAGATTATGATATCAATCATATCTCAGTCAACATGTTAACATCCAACTCATACTGTCGTTAAATTTTTAACGAAAAAAGACGAGTTTGGAACATAATGAATAGTTAGGTGATCATTTTGTAACTTTTAATAGTCAATGCACTTAACAAAATAACTCCTATAATCGATGAACTACTTTATAATTTTTAATAGTTAATAGACTCAACAAAGTAATATCCTATAGTTAGAGGATCGTTTGTGTACTTTGCCCTTAATAAAAATGCATAATTTGTTCCCTTATTTTTTTTAATTAGGTTAAATTACAAATTTGGTAGCTAAAATTTACTCTCTCCTATTTCACTCATTGCACTTTAAATCTTTTCAATTTCCCCACCAAGCTTAATGCATTGGATTTTTTTTTTGTTACTCGATCGTTAAATAGTTAGCGATGTTAAAATGGGTTGCAATAAGGATGCAAAACGACGTCATCTTGGTGAAAATTTTGTTTTTTTAAATGACATTATTTTTAACGCCGTTAACTATTTAATGACGAAATGACCAAAATAGGAGAGAGTAAAGTTCAGTGACCAAAACCCAATGTATTAAGTTTAGAGAGGAAATTAAAAACTTTTTAATTTCACTTGTCCACGAACTTGCTAATTGTCGATCGTTGTGTTGCCTTCTTGCTGCCCTTCTCCCCACTCTTCGCATCCATTGCCTTTGTCTGCCTGCCTGCAACCCTCTACTTCATAAACCATGCCTAACATTTAAACAAGCAGAAGAACCCACCATTTTTAACCTTCTCTCCATTTAGTTCAGGTCAGTTCTTTTCTCCCTTTCTATGTAAAAGAAATGAACTTTTCTTTGATTTGTTTCTCCTTCTGTTGTCTTTAGCTTCTAATCAACAGTAAAAGAATCCTTCTAAGTGAATGATGTAGTTTTTTGGATTGAAAGATGCAATATATTATGTTCTCTGAACTCGGAAACTTGGATATTTCTTGCTTAGTTTCATTCTGTCTCTCTTGGTGGAAAAGGATATGATTCGTTACATGTTTGGTAGGAAAATGGGTTTTATTTCTTGGTTGATATTTTGTTTCAAGAATGGTAAACCAAGTAATTGGATGCTTTTCTTTTTAATGTTTTGCTTCTTTTGTTCATTCCTTTTCAGTAGTGGAGGTAAATGAGATAGTTTAATGTGCTTGTTCATTGTTGTGAACAAATGCTTTTAGATGATTGCTTTTTATACTTGCTCAAAACAACGTGTTGCTGGAATTTGAAGTTCAATCCTCAGGTTTTTGTTGGATTCTAACATTTGTACTCAAAGAATCTGAGTCTATTCCTTTGAATTTCTCCTGTAATAATTGAATTTTTTTTTTATCAGAAATGTAGCTTATTGATTTGTTTTGTGTGATCAGATTGTATGTTAAATTGAGGTCCTGAATATGGCAGAAGCTACTCGCCTCGTATGCGTTTTCCACGGTAAAAGTGTTAAATTTCCATGTAGAACATCGGGATTTACTCGTAATGAAAGGTTTTGCCGGAGGCTAATAGTTCATGGCGTAGCGCTACTGAAAATTCAATCTAGTCGCAGAAACTCAAGGTACTCTCAGTTAATTAAGCCGAATATGAACTATTCTGCATCAAAATCAAGATGTTCGAATCAGCTTTCAAGAAGAAAAGAGATGAACTTATCATCAAGTAGCAGCAATGGAAGAACACCTAAGGTAGTATTGGCCTCTAGATGCTGAATTTCTTACTAATTGACAATTTTGTATGTTAATGTTCATATTTTTGTATTAAATATCTTCTTCTTTAAGGCAGAAGAGGTATTTTCATTTTCAATGCCTACCATATCGAATTTCTTAGTACAATGGAGCCAGACACAGATTGTGAAAATGGTTGGATTGCTTGCATGCGCGTATTTGGTGATTCCATCAGCTGCTGCTGTCGATTCTCTAAAAACATGCACTTGCTTGTTGAAGGAGTGCAGGTATTCAATCAAATTAAGTGAAAACCGTCATCTAACTCGATGCATTCTAAGTCTATACTCTATAAATATAAAGGTTATAAAGGTTTGACGGTCATCTAACTCGATGCACAATATTATTCTTGTCAGGGTAGAACTTGCAAAGTGCATTGCCAACCCGTCATGTGCTGCAAATGTTGCTTGCCTCCAGACCTGCAACAATAGGCCGGATGAAACCGAGTGCCAGGTTAGTTTTGTATGCTTCTTGCAAATGATTTACGTCTAATGATGGGGCAGTTTATGGCTAAGGGATGCGTATTATGCTTTTTATAGACTTGTTTATATCAGCACTTCTGCAGATTAAATGTGGAGACCTCTTTGCGAACAGCGTTGTAGACGAATTTAATGAGTGTGCTGTCTCACGCAAGAAGTGCGTTCCTCAGAAATCCGATCTAGGCGAATTCCCTGCCCCCGATCCTGTTGTTCTAGTTGAAAACTTCAACATTGCAGATTTTACTGGGAAATGGTTCATCAGTAGTGGTTTAAATCCTACTTTTGACACTTTTGACTGCCAACTACATGAATTCCATACAGAAGGTGGAAAACTTGTAGGGAATTTGTCTTGGAGAATACGGACACCAGATGGTGGTTTTTTCACTCGATCAGCTACACAAAGATTCGTGCAAGATCCGAACTATCCGGATTCTTTACAATCATGACAATGAGTACCTTCACTATCAAGATGACTGGTAACATCCGTTCCCGTATATATCTTTTACGTTAGCATCCACCGGTTAAGTATATCCTGAATCTTAATTATCCTATCGTGCTTGAGGGTAGCAATTCACATGTATGTGCTTAAAATTTATAATCTGGTGCTATCAGAAGACAAAGTGTTTGAGTTTCAAAACCGCTGACGATGGTTGTGCCTTCACTCATTGGTTAATATGTTATGCAGGTATATTCTATCGTCCAAAATAGAAAACAAACCGGATGATTATGTATTCGTATATTACCGGGGTAGAAACGATGCATGGGATGGATATGGCGGTGCTGTTGTCTACACAAGAAGTGCCGTATTGCCAGAAACCATTGTACCTGAACTCGAAAGGGCAGCTCAAAAAGTTGGCAGAAACTTCAACAACTTTATCAAAACCGATAATACTTGTGGTCCGGAGCCTCCCCTGGTAGAAAGACTCGAAAAGAAAGTAGAGGAAGGAGAGCGGACACTGATTAGAGAAGTCGAAGAGATAGAAGGGGAGGTGGAGAAGGAGGTTGAGAAGGTAGGGAAGACCGAACAGACATTGTTTCAGAGGTTGTTTGAAGGTTTTAAACAGCTGCAACAAGATGAAGAAAACTTCTTGAAAGGGCTAAGTAAAGAAGAGATGGAGCTGTTGAACGAGCTGAAAATGGAAGCGAGTGAAGTCGAGAAACTCTTCGGAAATGCACTGCCGATTCGGAAGCTACGATAGATTGTTTCGCAAGTAATTCAACACAGTTCAGTTGCAAACATTTTTTTTGTTAGAAACTGAACTGTACAGCGTATATCTCTATAAATTCACATGGATGCTCAATCAGTTCCACAAAATAGGATGAGATCGGTTTGCCAAAACATTGAATCAGCTTTCTGTTTCATCAATGATTTGTTTTTGAAACTTAATCCGCAACAAAGATATAAAGCAAAGAGTAATAATGTGCGACATACCTAACGCCTAAATGAAAATAGTAAAATAGTATTCACTATGTTTGTTAGTAAGATTCATCTTAGAGTTGGGACAAAGACCATAAGTTCATTCATTTATTAAATATATTTACTTTTCATGATGTTTAGCGTACTCATATGATCTATCAGAGTTAAGAGTGTTTATCTAGAGAGTCGATCGTGAGTTGGGCAGTGTTCAACTCGTACTCGTTAAAAAAATGTGTTGTTCAACTAAACTTCTTGGTCGTTAAGATCATTATATGCCTCGTTGCTCGTTACACTCACTGAAATTTTTACCTTATTTTTTAAACAATAGGTAAAAGTCACTAATACTATATAGAACTTAATATAAACATAAATTAATAAATTTAATCAAAAATTATTAATGTATGAAGCAATTTTAAAATCTAAACTTAAAATAACTATCCACAAATACATTAAAATAATAATTATGGTTTGATTTTGGGTGTAATAAAATAATAATTATTAATTAATAATTTAATATTTTATAGTTTATTAGAAATTAATAGATTATTAATTTTATTATTATTTGTTAGTAAATTATTTATTTTTTAATTGAAATAATTTTTTAAAATAATTACTAAAAATTTATTAAAAAATTATCAAGTCGAGTTAGACTTTGCTCGATTTAATTCATTAAAATCCCTAATTGAGCTCGAATTCGAATCATATCAACCCAAATCAAATTTTAATTAAATTTTGATCAAATTAACTTCGAGATATTCAGGAACTACTCATCCTTCATTAAACACCCTTAATCAGAGTTATATTAATTGGTAAGCGTTTTATTTTTGGTACGGGAATAAGCTGGCTTTTTTAAGCTTTCCAATAAAGCGATTGCAGGGATCTAGCAAAAAGATTATTTAATTAGGAAAAAGACAAATCCTAAAACTGATCCCTTTTCTTTATGGGTAAACTATGCGGATAGTTCTATTTGTTTAGGGTCTGACTGAATTTGGTCACTAATTTAAAAATTAAGGATAAATGATCCTCACATTATCGGTCCGTTCGGTTTAATTCCATCTGCTATTAATTTCGGTTAATCCTCTTTTGTTTAAGTCTCTAACATGGTTGAGAGACAAAAATTGAATGAGAGTTAACGGATGAAAGACTAAATCGAACGAATTGATAATATTAGAAAATAAAATCGAATAGATTGATAACGTTATAAATCATTTCTCATTAATGTTTAAATTGGTATGACTATTCGAATAATTTATCCTTTATTTAAAGAAAATAATTAATATATATATACACAATTAATTAAAGACTACGTATGATTTGGAAACATCTCATGTACATGTGATTTGGCAAAGAATAAATAAATAAAATACAATACTAATACCAATACCCATCTCAGCTCTACTTCTTCTTCCACACTTTTCATCAAAGCAAATTCCATTTTTTTTCCTGAAATCCGTTCTTCAATTTGCTTTGTTAGTACAAAAACAAACCCAATTTTAAACAATGGGTCCAATAAAGCTTGCAATTGCAGACATGTTGATTACTTTCATGTGGATTTTCTGTTCATCGATGTTTGGTTTGCTTACTTCTTGGATTGCCACCGCCCTCGGCGTCGAAACCGTTTCTTGGGCTCCTATTGTTATCATCACTGTCATTATTTTCGTTTTTGTTTTCATCTTCACTATTATTGGTGAATTTCTTGGCGGAGCTAGCTTTAATCCCACTGGAAATGCCGCATTCTATGCTGCCGGAGTCGGTGATGATAGCCTCATCTCCATGGCCCTTCGGTTCCCAGCTCAGGTAAACTATAAACTTGTTATCTTTTTCTGGGTTTTCTGTGCGGGATTTTTTATGGAATTCTATTAGATTTGATTAGAGGTAACTAAAAATGTCATCTTTTCGTGTTTTTCCGTGTGGGTTTTTGGTTTTGTTTTTATGGAACTCTAATTGATTTGATCTAGATTCTTCTTTTCAATTATCAATTAGATCAAATCACATCATTTTTTGTGGTTTCACTGATAGTATTTTAATTCTATCAAATTAAATTCCCCTGAAATGCTTTATTCAATTATTCTGCATCTGCTTTTGAAAAGAAAAGAAAAAAGTTTGCCTTGCCTGACACAACTGTACTTTACTTGTTCAAGTGATGGAATCTTAATTGTAAAAGTCTGTAAAATTTTCCTTAAATGCTACAACAGATTAACAATGTGCATTGCTAGTTCAAGGAATTAAAGTAGCTTACTTTTATGGGTAGTTCTACTCTTCGACGGTCTAATTTAAGGACATTTTTAGTTACAATCGAAAAGTTATATCGCAAGAGACTTAGGGGTTATAACAGAAAATTTATATAAATTTATAACATTTTTAGTTGCAATCAATTTTTATCATTTTTAATCTTATATTAATAAGTTGTATTTTAGAAATTTTCAGACTTCTACTTTTTTAAGCTTTAGTTACTTCTTTTCTTTAAATATTCTTCAATGTTTACTTTGTTGTCAGTCCTTTTTGATATGTGTGCTTTTTTATCACATGGTTTTCTTTTTTCATTTTCCGTTTGAATTTGAACTTATTGCTCTTCTAAGCTGTAAATCTGAGATGTTCCCATGCTTTTTTTCCTTTCTTAAAGTTTTCCATCTGTAACACTTAATCTTGCACCCTCGAATTATAATATTAAATGATTAGTTGATATTTCAAGATGCATTATTGAAAATGGAACCTCTCATTGGCAGGCTGTTGGTGCCGTGGGCGGTGCCGTGGCGATCATGGAGGTGATTCCGGAACAGTACAAGCACATGATAGCGGGACCATCTCTGAAAGTTGATACACACACCGGAGCCATTGCCGAGGGTGTTTTGACTTTTGTAATTACCTTTGCTGTTCTTTTTATCATTCTTAAAGGTCCACAGAGTGCAATATTCAAGACATGGTTGCTCGCCATTTCAACCGTAGCGATAATCATGCCCGGTACTGATTACACCGGACCTTCCATGAATCCTGCAAATGTAAGTTGCTATTCCTTCTCCATAAGATGTCCTGCCTTTTATTGTTTCTAACCGATACAGGGTGGTTGTAATACGAGTTTTTGATACTTTTGAGTCCTTGTTTCCTCTATTACTAGAAAATTGCCAATCTGGCTTATTCCTTTTCGAAGCACCTTAAGTATATGCAGTCTTTTTGACTTCCCGCTATGGATATGTCTGGCTTTCTTGTTACTACTTCACTGGTTTGGATTCCTTGGAATATGATTGTAGTCTGCCCTGTGTCTCTCTTGTGATGCTTTGTAATATTTGTTTGACTTGGATTGTCATGTGTGATGCTCGAATTAAGTATCGTCGGTATTCAGAAAAAGTCTGCTCTTTAGTCAACAGTTGCATGCAGTTCATCATACCTATCTTAGCTTCCCCATTTAACAGTTGCCCCGAAACAGAACCGTCTCCAAATCACAATCATTGCTGTAGCTTTCTTCTTGGCGAGTGTGGTGAAGACTACTATTTATCTGGTGTGCTGATAGTGCTGCACTGAATTTTTTATAATGCACTTCCGATATTAGGATAGCAATCGGGTTTAGGGTGCTCTTGCACAGTGCTTGTTTGACTGGTTAGTCGAGGATGATCGTCTATAAAACTTGGCCTTATGATAGAAAACCGTGATCAATTCACTCTGTTTCCATGTACTTAGGCTCGCCCTAGATGAATTAGTGATTCTTTGCATATATTCGGGTAGTCATGGCAGTAGCCATGTCTTATGTTGTTATTGTCTTTCTTTTCATAGATCTACTTATGAGGTTTCCTCTTCTGAACTTGGTTTGCGTGATTTATTCTTGGAAAGGCCTAGGCCTGTAAACGAACCGAACGCACACGAACGGAGGTATGTTCATGTTCGTTCATTTAATAAATAAACGAACATAAAGGAATACGAACATAAACGAACAAAATGTTTTTTGTTCATGTTCGTTTATTAAGGAATATAACTTGTTCATGTTCGTTCATTTAATAAATAAACGAACATAAACGAACACAAACATAAACGAACACGAACATAAATGAACACGAACATAAACGAACATAAACATTGGAGACCCTACCTAGGGGTGTAAACGAGCCGAGTCGAGCTCGAGTATTGCTGAGCTCGACTCGAACTCGAAAACTTTCAAAGTCAGCTTGACTCGACTCGAAAACTCGCGAGCTTAAAATTATCAAGCTCGACTCGAACTCGAAAAGGATTGAACTCGAAAAGGATTGAACTCGATTATTGGATTCTTGAGTTCAAAGTAAGCTGACTTGAGTTGTTGGATGATCACTATTTACTTGTAAATTCGAATACTCCATTATATATGAAAGAAAAGAAGATTATTTGAGTAGAAGAAACGGTGCTTAATACTTAACATCTCTTCCGGAATCCATCACCTTTGGACTTGGTTTCGAAAGCAACCGGTTTCTGGGACTCTTCTTTGCTCATCGGATAACCAGCTGGTGGCGCAGTCAAATAGGGTTCCGATGCAATGGATGTTGACGGTGCTGGTTATGCAGTTTATGGATCGTTCAAAAAGAACTAAACCATGTTAATATTGTTGGATTTTCCAAATAAAATTGGGTTAATTATGGAGTTGGTCATCAGAATATCAGATTAATTAATATTTTTAAGATACTTACAAATTAGTCACCAAAATTGATTTAAGAAGATTGGCTTAAACATAAATGAATGAACATAAACGAATATAACCGAACAAACATAAACGAACATAACTGAACGTTCACGAACGTAAATGAACGAACGAGACCTATGTTCATGTTCGTTCATTTAATTAAACGAACACAAAATCTTGTTCATGTTCGTTCATTTAATAAATAAACGCACATAAACGAACTTCCCGCCGCACGTTTCACTAAACGTTCAGTTCATTTACAGGCCTA